CAGGATATAGTGAGCATAACCGACGACGACAACAACAATGATGATAATGATGCCGAGGACGCATGACGGGCGTGGGACTGCCAGCAGGCTAGTTGAGGCCAGCACAGAACGATGGTGGTACGGCATGTGTGTTTCCAGACGTCAGGTGTTGTTTACAGCACACCGTACGGCCTTTGAGGGGGGGGTTCGGGGGGGGGCACAGCCCCCCCCAGCGACTATACAAAAAGGAATTGTAACCGCAAGAAACACCCAGTTTATTACTCTAGGGTACTAGGCCCAAAACGAAAAAAAACACTGTGCATGAGCACACGGGCGGAGGGGCACACACATACACATTCAAAGGACGGAGGGAGGGAAGGGCAAGGGAACGCAGGGGACAGCAGAGATGAAGGCGCAGGAGGGCAGAAGGGTGGGCAGTAGGGAGGGGAAGGGAGGATGATGGAGGGAAGTGGGGGGGATGATTTAGGAAGGGTGGAGGAGGAGTGGGAAAAGGTATTTTGGAGGGATGGTTCGAGGGAGGGAGGGGGGATTGTGGAGGGAGGGTGGAGGGAGGCGGGAGGGAGGGAGTGTGAAATGATGGAAGGATGGAGATGGAGTGTAATGTCTCTCTTCTTTTACACCCCAGCGGAAAAGCCACACGGCTCTATGGGGCCGGAGGCCTCAAACTTATTAGCATATGCATCATTCGCGCCCACACGAATCCCCCAGGATCCTGTCGTATTTAAGTTATTTAGCCAGGAGCTCCCGTGTTTGTTTGACTGGATATTCACAGAAGAGTCACACACACAACCTGTAGAGGCTCACAAACGTGCAGCACGCTAAAACAGCCATCAAGCCTGTAATTTATTTAACTTCTGGAGAGAGACATCCCCAGACCCCCGGATGGGCAGTGGCAGGTGTTGTGTCGTGTGCGGGGTTTTTTAATTGTTTGGATGTTGTGCACAACACATGGGTGAGGGGTTCTTCCTGTGTTGTTTCATCACACCACAGCCTTCTCCACACAGCCTCTGGGGGTCAGTTGTTTCTTCAAACACGCCACGTGACGCCACCACACGCCGCCCTGATTCATTTGGAGGCCACATCAGGGACACAATATCCGAATGTGCCAGAATGTCTCGACACCGGGGTGAAGGGGGATGCATTTGCAATACATTTAAAGCATGATACACATCAGATGCATGCAATATGGTATGGGATGTGGGGTACCTTTTGACTCTTTTTATGGGACAGGGCGCAGAGTCGTCCAGATGTGGAGGTCTGGAGAGAGGTGCCGTGGGGGACTTCTTTAAACATCTTTTACACAAACGCTTTTGTGGAGGAATGCACGTTTTTGTGGGTAGGAATGCATGTGTAAATTTGTCTTCTCCCACTTGTGGTGGTGTAAGTTCTTTTGAGCCACACACGCACAAAAACACCGCCCTGTAGTGCGCAAGCGAGATTTTGTGCACACGCAGCTGCAGCTGCATGTGTGCATGTGCATGCGTTCGAACTGTATATTCATTGGCGACCCGTGGGTTTCTCTCCGCCCCAACGACGCTCTGTGGTGCCCCCCGCTTCCCGTATGCTAGTTTTAGCACGTGTGGAACAATTTGCAGAACGATGATGACGGTCGACCAGGGCCGCGTCAACATCATGTACTTTGTCGAAGAAATTCAAGCAAGCAGCAGCGTCAAGACAAAAAGCAGAGCCATAAGATGAATGGGACGAATTTACGCATTGGAGCGGCAAATGTTCCCCTGTCTCGTCCCTCCTCTGTTCATTAACCCCTTTAGGGTCGCGGTGTAACGTGACTAGCATGAAAACCATAT